CCCCTGGCATTGAGGAGAAATGGGCCGTTCTGGACCTCGGAGTTCCACTGACATAGCATTATTCTTACTGGGGTCATTATTTGGCAATTGCCAGGTGAAGAACCGGACTGTCCCAAATCTTCAGATGTTGCCAGAACCAGGAGCTGCTCATGGATGGGGCTCTGAGGGGCCACTAATATATACAATGATGGGACACGTTGGCGGCAGATTTGGGGGCTTTGATGGCATTTCCGTCCTCCACATTGCGAGGATCCACCGAGGACATGGAGGCCGCGGAGGTTCTGTGTGCTGCCAGGAATACTGAGAGGAGGAGGAGGCCGGCCCGGATCCATCAGAACCTCCTTCAGATGGCTTTGCCCATGATGAGCATGCTCATGAAGAAGACCATGATGAAGAACACCCACATGAAGAAGCGGTCCATGACCTTGGCCACCTTCTTCCACTCGCCGGTCCGTTTCTGAGCCGACCTTTGCTCCCGGAAGCAGTTGGCCATGTATTCAACGTTCTTCAGCAGGCGTTCATTGTGGCACAGACAATGGCTCCGGCATCCCTTCCCACCCTTGCCGTGATCGGAGCGCTCGTATTTCCCAGCGGCCTCTCTCCAGGCCTTGTGATCGTCCTCACACCCCCAGTCCAGCTCCTCCTTCGCCATCTTGGTGTTGGAGCCGCTGTATGGACACTTCTTCTGTCCGGTTGCCACAGGCTCCTCCCATTTGGCTTGCCCGTTTATGGCCGTTCCTTTGGGGGGCCCCTCTGGCTCGGTTTGTGGCCTCCTGCAGCTCTCGCCCACCTCGTAGACAAAGAATATCCGCGACATGTACTGCAGGATGAACTTCTTGGCCCACCTGGGGACGGGCTTGGCCTCGGGGCCACAGTGATGGATGTTCATGATGAAGATAGTGAGGGCGGTGGAGGCCGTGATCATCGTCATGGTGGCAATGTAATACTTCCCTGCAAGAAGAGGAGCCACTGTCAGCCAATAGAAAAGGATCACTCCCTACGCCCCATGAAAGTGGAACCTACCGGTCACATGACCTCCGGGTATGT